TCGCATCATATGACCCCTTTAACTTGTTTCTGTGTGTTTGCTAAGGTGTTGTAATTGATTTTTAGCATGTTGCTTTAGTGTTCTAATTTTAGCATGTGTGCCATGTTGACATTGGTGGGTTTTAGTGTGTTTCTATGTGGGTTTCTGAGTGTTTTTAGCATGTTTGCCATGTTTAAGTGTTATGAATAGTTTGAATATGTTGTTAAGGTTGCTAAGGTGTTAAGAATATTTTTGGTGTTACAGTGTGGTTGGTAAGGTGTTCTGAGTATTTTAGCATGTTGCTGTGCAGTTGTTCAAAGTAGTTTTAGCATGTTGCTATTAAGGTGTTCAGAGTAGTTTTCTTCTTATTATTATGTGGATTTAACATGCTGCTATTCAGTTGCTAAGGTATTCTGAGTGATTTTTAGTATGTTGTTGAAGTGTGAAGATGCTTTGAGTGGTTTTTAGAGTTTATATGTGGTTTCTAAGGTGTCCTAAGTGTTTTTAGCATCTTCACTATGTTTTAGTTCTATCTTGTTTCGGGTTTTTTTTTTTTTTTACTCTGCTGCTTGTATAATTGCTAAGCTGTTAAGAGCAGTTGTGTGTTACTATGTGGTTGCTAAGCTGTTGCTAAAATGTTCTTGAATGCAAACATCATCATTGTAAATCAGTGGGGAAGCTGGAAGCAGCTCCTTGAGAATCCCTTTATTCTGATGTTATGGCTGATTTGAGATGTATTACAAACCTCTCGAAATGTTTACCGCCTTTTCAGGAGGGTGAATGTGACCAGGAATCAATTACAGCGGTTACAACCGTACCAACCGTGAAGTCATTCTGACAGGTCAGTCTGCCACACTTCAGTGCGATTGAATCTTTTATCCCTGTCTTAGGCATTTACTACACTTGGCTCTTGAGAGCGGAGAGCTGATGTCATCAGCCACAGGACTGTGGGTCTGTCTGCCACTGAGAAGATTGTGTTACATAAAACAAATCAACAAACGTGGCCACAAAGCCTTTGTGATGGGGACAATAGGTATTAATAGAGCCAGAAACCACTGCCACGTTAAGGGCTGCATTATTAAACAGCCTGAAGCACGGGCCGCTGTGATGCTGGAAAGAATGAATGTATTTAAAATATTAAGAATGAGAAGTGAATTCCATATTTATAATGTATTGTCTATGCTATTATACTTTTGTAATTGTTCCTATTTTCACTGGCAATACTGTGTTGGTCACTTAATATTAACTCAAAGTTTAATGAGTGGGTAGATGACATGAAGAGGCCTGTGTTTAGCTGCATTGTAAACAGACGCACACTATTATCCTACATAAAGCTCCCGATCGATGTGAAGTTCAGGGGATTTTGTCCACCGAATGATAAGAACACACATTATTTTATTATTTTCACACACAGTATTTTGCAGCTTGCGCTGCAAGCCATGCTCGTTTTCTCTTGTCAGCTTTGTCATAGATTGCAAGGCATTATTGCATTATGTACTGTATGGGTGTATGTACAGCATATACTTTTTATCTTATAAGCAAGTAAATGCAAACATATGCGCCTATAACTAGCTGCTGAAAATTCAGCTTTGCCATCACAGGATTACATTACCTTTTAAAATACATGAAAACGGAAAACAGTTATTTTAAATTGTAATAATATTTCATAGTATTACTGTTTATACTGTATTGTTTATCAAATTAATGCAACTTTGTGTATAAAAATGTATAAAGTCAGGGTTCTTTTTAATTTAATTATGGGTTTATGTTCAGCACAGGGGCCCCCTGAGAGTTAAAGCCCCAGGGCCTCTGATTGTGAGAATAATCAGAAATGTTTCTTGAGCAGCAAATATAATGATTTCTGAAGGACCATGTGACACTGAAGATTGGAGTAATGCTGATGAAAATTCAGCTTTGTCATCACAGGAATATATTGCATTTTTAAATAAATTACAGTTCTTCTAAATTGTAACATTACCTCACAACATTAATATGTATTTTTGATCAAGTAAATGCAGCACAAGGGATTTGATCATAAAAAATAAAATAAAATAAAATCTTACCAAGCTCTTTTGAACAGTGGCGTATTTCAATGGTAACGGTAATTTGGCTATTTATTAACTTTAATCAAAAGTTGGTTACAACAGATACAAAAATCATGTCTTCACAGTAAAACACAAAAACCCCTATACAGGCTATATATATAAAAAAACTTTACTCTTAAAATACAAATTTTTGATGATTATTTATTCTTTTATCAGTTGAATACTTAAAGACATGAGATCAAGCATAAAAAAAAGACTTGAAATTTTCTTTATTTTTCTGCATCAGCTAACGGCAGTGGTATTTCATAGCAGAGGTGTGCTATAAAATGTTCAATAAAAATACAGTTAGAATTTCATTATGCCGTAAAGGTACCATAAGCCAGAAAAAGAGAACAAAGAGCTTAGTTTTTTTATTCTTCATGGAAAAGAAGTTAGATTAGAAGTCGAATGACACCTTAATTTTTTTGACAATAGAGGTTCTCAAGCAGGGGTGTCCTGTACACCAGTGTCGACGGCATATTAGTCACATTAGCCGAGGAAGAAAGTATTTTGAACCCTGTTGACCTGGAACATGTATGAAGTCAATAGGGTTCATTTTATTTTAATGATGGCTTTATGTTCTGAATGTGTGTGCTAGCAGCACAGGGGCCCCCTAAGAGTCGTAGCCCAATGGTTAGAGTCGGACTTGTAACACAGGTCGCGGGTTCGAGTCTCTGTACCGGCAGGGATTGTAGGTGGGGGGAGTGAATAACCAGCGCTCTCTTCCACCTTCAATACCACGACTGAGGTGAGACCCTTGAGCAAGGCACCGAACCCCCAACTGCTCCCTTGCCGCCGCATGGGTTAAATGCTTGGAAGGGTTAAATGCAGAGCACAAATTCCGAGTATGGGACACCATACTTGGCCACACTTCACTATTTCCTTTATCATAATTGTGGTACTCACCAAAATCCATTGAAAGCATGCTATTGTGCTGTTAGCCCACATAAAAAATGCTGACGCAGAAATATGAATTCCAACATTTAATTGAAGCGTGTAAAAACATGCTCTTCGTTAAAAAGGGATAGCCTGACACGCTCGGAACATCTGTAACGGCTCAAGCACAAGCTTTCAACCCAGCATGGAAAAAAAACAAAAAAAACAATGTTCAAGGTAAAATGAAGAAACCGAATAGTTCAAACTAAAAATCACAGAACTGCCATATGCTTAAATGAATAGTTTATAGAATTATTACAAATTCTGTGGTAATTTACTCCATATCATGCCATTTCAAACCTGATTGATTTCTCTAACAGAATACACTGGAAAATATATGAAATGTCTTCAAAACATTTGGTGTTCTACAGAAGAAACAGAGTCAGTTGGGTTTGGAGTGACATGTTTTCATTTTTGAACGAACTATCCCTTTAAATGCATCACTTGCAAACAACGCAACAAAAGACATTTTAAATTAAAAACATAAAGCACCTCATGAAGTTTTACCCACGAATACTGATCTACTCTTAGCACAGCTGTTTGGAAAGCATCCATATGTACAAAACAAAAGCCTGCATCATTCCACAAACATTCAACCAGATCGTAACACTGAAACATCAACCGCGTTCATTTTTCAGTTCAGTCACACAATTTTCTTTGGAATAATGCTGTTCAGTCATGACGTCAATTTGCAGGCTAATCCGGAAGACTTAATAATTCACTCTTAGGACTTTCTAATGGGTTGTAAGAGTAGCTGTTTTCAGTTTATGAGTAAAATATGGTCTGAGGTTTACTTAAACTTTCCTATGTTATATAAGAACAACAATGTTTGTCCGATTCTTCAGCAGCACATAAACTCACATCAACTTGGTAGTTGATATGTTTCAACTTGTGTTTTTAAAGCACGGCACCAGGTGAACTATGTCATTTATTTTGTACAATGTGAAAGTCTCTTCAAATATTAACACAAATCTTACTTTACTCCAATCCAAAACCGCTTTTCTGAATTCCCACTGGAAATTCCCTGGGGAATTTATGGACATGCTAATTCCCTTCTGGGTTTTAGGAATACAGACTGAATTAATTATTTGATTAGTTTTGTCATTGTTTCCTTCCATTCATGCAGTCACTTGAACTCTGCCGTTTTATCCTGTTTTCCTGACATATTCAAAAGGCATTAAAACTGAACCTGATCTCTCAAGTACAACAGGACCTATAATACAGATGCTTCTCGTTCAACCTTTTCTAATGTATTTGCAAAGCTAAGTTAAGATGCTAATAATGATACTATGTCAATAATTTACAGTCATTTTGTACTACCTCTGGAGGCAGTAGGCATTAAAATATGGCTACTTTTTAGCATAGAATAACTGTCAACAGACCGCTGAAGTGTTGAATATTAAAACGCATTAGTCTTCAATTATTTAACGGTCCATCGTCAATTTTCACACTGAAAAAAGAAACTATTTATTTGAAATGTATATAAAATAGCATTATGTAATTGCATTAAACAGTCTAAACATAATACAAAATAATAAACTTAATGCAAAGCATATTTGCCAGTCATACATAAATGAAACCGGTAAGATGCACTTTTTTTTATTTTTTATTATGGCATCAATTATTATTTTTGCATCTTTTTGATGTGATTTAAAAAAAAATCACAAATAATTCAAAATGCATTTATTCAGTTTCTTTAGAATCAGCACAAATCTCTTAATTTCAGAAACAATTCAATTTATTAATTTAAAACTAAAATATTGAAATATGGCTAGCTGTGGAACAAGCAATATTCAAGTAATTAATACATTTAAATATATAAACCTTGTTATTGTGTAAACACATTCAGTTTATTAGTACTATTACAGAAATCCTACCTGTTTTTGCATGACAGACAAATATGCCTCACATTAAGTTTATTTATATGTTCATGTGAACTGGGCAATCCAAATGAATGGAAATTTCATATGCAAGTCAAATACATAAATGTAAAATTTAAGTTTAAATAATTCAAAAATTTAAATGTTTATAATTTTGATCTCTTTCTTTTGCTCTGACTCTCTTTGATGTTCTGTTAATTTAAAACCACAAAACATTTCACAAAGAACATGGCAAGGTTATATTGAAAGTCAACAAACCTCTCATTATTATTATCCATCAATTGTGTAATAATACAGTCGCTGCCACGTTAAATCCCAACTTCAGCAATTGTCATTTGTAATAATCATGTTGCTCCTTTCTAATGCCTGGAAAATGCAGCACTGAATTTTTGCACTGCCATAACCAGCAGTTTTTTTTTTTTTTTTTTGTGCAAATCTCTTGGACCTACTCAGTCCTGGTAGCACTGCGGTTCCTCAGGGCCTGGGTGTGGTGGTGGACGAGAAGGGGGCGGGGCTCGTCCGGGCGGCACCGCCTGAGGGGGTGGAGGCAAGGTGCTGGGTGACGAGGGTGGTAGGAAGCTTGTTGGTGGCGGTGGTGTGGGTGGAGAAGGAGGCAGAGTCACATTGATATTCAGACAGGTAGGAGGAAGAGCTCTGGTTGGAGGTGGTGTGTAAGGAGGAGGGGTTATGGATGTTGGGGGCGGGGTTGATGGCAAAGGGGGCAGGGTGGAGGTTGGAGAGTGGGTGGAGCAGAGCGGGGTGGGCGGCAGGGTGCCCTGCGGGACAGGAGGGCATCGGCTATGGGGGAGGCTGTAGATGTGGCTCAAGGGGTTGTTGTAAAGTGGGTATCGAGGGGGCGGGCAGGATCTCAAACGGGTAAATTTCATACAGCGACCCTAGAGAGTCAAATTTAAAATTAATACATTTTATATAAGAAAACAAAAATAAAGTATTCAAGAAGTCATATTATACTTTTTATTGAGAGTAATTGGTAAAACAATGTTTTGGGATTTTTTTTTTCAGGACACAGAATTAAGCCATGTTTTCTGGGTGTGCCAAGTTTCTGAATACCTTAAAAGGTGTTGATGTGTAAATGTGACGTCATACACTGTTGTTCAAAAGTTTGAGGTCAGTAAGATTTTTTTTTTTCTAAAATGAAATGAATATTTCTATTCAGCAAGGATGCATTAAATTGATCAAGTGACAGTAAAGACATTTAACATGTTAAAAAGAGATCTATTTCAAACTTTCTACTTTATCACACAATCCTCAACAAAAAAAATTCACAGTTTCCACAAAAATATTTAACATTAATATTAAGAAGTGTTTCTTGAGCAGCAAATCAACATATTAGAATTTCTGAAGGCTCACGTGACACAAAAGACTGGAGTAATGATGCTGAAAATTCAGCTTTATTACAGGAATAAATTACATTTTAAGATGTATTAAAAAAGAAAACAGCTATTTTAAATTGGAATAGTATTTCACAAAATTACACAGTAAGAGTACACAATAAGATTCTTCAAAAACATCAACAAATTTTACCACAAACTTTTGAACGTTAGTGCATATTAATAGTTTCTGTTTTTTTATGTCAGGAACTTTAATTTCAAGGCATGTGTTTTGGGAAAATTATTAAGTATGTATATTTAGTATGTCAAACTCTGACTTTACAAGATTAAGGAAAATCTGATTTCTTATGACACCTTTAAGAGTTTCTACTTGTTTAAAATAATTTGTATTCCACAGTATGGCTTTGAATTATAACGTAGGCCTTCGTGAGATGAATTGAGTACAGTTTAGTGTTTTGTGTTATATAGTTCAGTGCAGTTTAATTTAGCTTTAAAGAGTCAACAGAAGCTCTTGTTTGCTTGTGAAGATCCAAAGCAGTCTCATTGCTATAATTTTAAAGGCCATCTGATTTCTGTCCAACTTTCTTTTTCTAGTTACCACAGCAGATCAGACACCCCAAAACTCCCCTCTGTGCATTCTTCTGAGGGAAAGGGGAGGGTGGTTAATGCTTTAAGCAGACTGCATTCCTTTAGGCAGGAGCATTAGCAGATTGGTCCTATTGGTCTGAAGCTGAGCCAGTGTCCTGAGTACCTTCACTCACTCTGCCTCTGTTTCTGACTGCACTTATTGCTAACAGCTGGCCTCCTTTCATCCTCAATATACCTCACAATGTTTTTCATGTGTTCCTCACAATCTGCCTGCAACGTTCTAACAAGAACAGATTCTGAAAGAACCCAGAGGACTGCTTTTTTTTGCCATTACCTTCTATTACCTTAAACAGACATTTTAGTAGTCCTATTTAACTTAAAAATATTGTCATTGAGGTAAGAAATAAGCACAGCTGAGTTTATATATTCGTGAATATCTATGCTGTATAAGGATAATGAAAAATAAATATGTTTGATATGAAGTTTATTTAATAAAGTATACACTACTGGTCAAACATTTGATGTTTTAATATGATTTAAAATGACTGTTTTCTATTCGAATATATTTTAAAATTGTATTCCTGTGATGGAATTTTCAGCAGAATTTTCATTCTAACCTGCTGATTTGTTGCTCAATTAATATGAATTTTTCTTGGTGCTAACTCCAAACTTCTTAGTGTGTCACGATTTCCACAAAAATGTTAAGCAACAATTGTTTTTAACATTGGTAAAGATAAGAAATGTTCTTTGAGCAGCAAATCAAAGCATATTAGAATGATTTCTGAAGGATCAAGTGACACTGAAGCCTGGAGTAATGATGCTGAAAATTCAGCTTTTCATCACAGGAATAAAATACATTTGAAAATATATTCAAATAGAAAATAGTTATTGTTAATTATGACAATATTTCACAATATTACAGTTTTACTGTATTTTTGTTTAAATAAATGCAGTCCTGGTGAGCATAAGAGACTTCTCGATCTTTATTATTCCAAACCTCTTACCTGTAGTGTGCATATGCCCCAAATTGACAGCATTGTTAATAATATGGAGCATCTGTGTTATGCATGACACTATTTATTACCTTCTCTCCCGGCTGAGGTCTCATCACAGACACGCGGTCATATCCTCTCCTAAGCCACACCCACAAGGCATCCAGTTTCCCCTGGAAGATCCAAACACTCAATCAGCGGCTCAAGGAGATCAACACTTCAGAGCACATTGGCGCGAAATTCAAGCTGCAAAACACTTCATCAACAATGCAAGCATCATTGTCAGGAGAATCTGTAATTGACTACACGGAGCAGTTCAGAGAGACAGAGCCCTAAGGTACTCATCTTTAGAATTTAATTTTATGCAGGTTGTTAAATGATGAGTTTCCAGTTTCCTGTCTGGATCAAAGAAACATAAGCTGGCAGAACAGTGTCAGTTCTTAAAATTGGAATTTAGTGGATCAGACATCTGACTCCAGTTCTTCACTGTGTATTTTCAATTCAATGAATATTAACGTTTCTCATTATTTGGGTGTAAAAATAACTACTTAAGGCATAGCAGACAGTATATTCATATAGTACCTGTGACTTTTCTCAGGTATTGAGTGCCACATAAAATGAAATCAATTATTAATTTATTCGAAAATAATAAAATATTATCAAGACATTTAAAGCTGTTTAACTGTTTTAAATTATTTAGTTTAATGTAACAATAAACAAAAAATTAACTAAAACCAATTTATGAGTATTAAATATAGATACATCTCCCGTGACATTTGCATTCATTGGTGGCCAAAGTGTGTCAAAGTTCATTGGTTAATTCCACACATGAAGTGTCCAGTGGCATTTTTCAAGTAGATAATGGAAAATCAACTGGAAATCAATTAAAATAATTGAAATTCTATGCATAATGTTTTTATTATTGTTACTTTTAACTACCATTTTAATCATTAATTAAATAAACTGCATATTTCTATTTATTTGACATTTTTTAATTAATACGTTGATTTTAAATAGTACTCCGAGCCACATAGTAATAACTAAATGAGGATTTCTGTATATTTTGTAGAAATTTCTTAGAGATGCTGGGATGGATTTCCATTTATTTCACACCTACATTAAACTTAACGGATTTAAACAGTTATATTTTCAGTAAACAAATGTGTCCAGTATGAAAAACAACATTGAAATATTTCAGTGTAGCTCAACAGAATATTAACTGTTGAAACCACCAATCACTCGCTGAGGTAAATAACTTTGTCCCTTAGAAGTTATTGGTAACATTTGCCACACACTGGCCTGGATAACATCTCACTTCATTTCTTGAAAAGTTGTTGGCTTAAATGGAGATTTTACTGAGAGTAAACATCTTGCTGAATCTGGGTCGAATACACACAGAACTTTCTATTTGTTTTTCTCAACCTGTATATGTGTTTAATTTCTGCCTCTCAGAGTGGACTGTCACCCAGCATAATCCAGAGGAAAGAAGGTGGAAGAGAAAGAGAAAAGGAGTTTGTTTTGTTAGGAAATGGACCAGCTCTGCAAAGCTCATCTCCCTTGGGGTCAGCTCAGTTCAGAGTCTGGTTTAAATTAACCCTCCCCTTCCATCTGACAGAGACATTACGAAACAATGCAAGAACCGCTTCCTGGACTGACTGAGGCCACCTCAACAGCACTTCTGAGCACGCCGCTTCTTCTGAGCTCCTTCCAGTCTTCCAATGAATAATCACGTCATTCGTTGTCCATCAGATAACCATACCGTAAGCATGACACCGTACTGGGTCTTCTATAGCTGCTGTGTAATGTGTTTTTGTGAGGACACACTGGCATATGAACATTTCCTGACTTTCTTTGTATTAATTCAAAACCTTTTACGACGCCATCCCTGGCCAAATTATACCAGCATGAATTTTCCTTCTGGTTCAGGCTGGTTAGAGCTGCTTTGCTTCTGGTCGCTGGTTTGCCAGCAATGCCATGCTGTTCACCAGTAAAACATGGTGAATTAAGAATTGAAAAATTCACTTTATTACAATTTATATTAGGAAAATAAAAGAGAAAAAAGTGTTAATTTGTACTTTTTTAGTGAATTAATTTAAGTCTAGTTGGTTAAGCTAGTTAAAAAGCCTCAAGGGGTCACCATCTAACCAACATCTAGGGGCTATAACAATACATCAAATGACTAATGATATGATTTCACAATGCAACACACACAAAAAAACTACATATTTCATATATCTATAATGTATATTAGAAGACTTTATTTAGAATGTTATAAAAAGACAAAATTGCCACAAAACTTTCATCAAATATAAGATATATAAGATAAGATCATTTTTAACAACTTTATTTTTTATATTCATTTTTAATATTTTTGGTATTTCTCTAATTTTTTCTGTATTTTTTCAACAACTAGAATGTCATTTTGTTTTGTATATCCTACACTGAAAAAAAAACTCAAAAAATTGCTTGTAAATTTTTTAAATATAGAAAGACTTAAAAAGTATACTCTTATTATACTCCAATAATCTTTGTTTTATTTACAACTTTGAAAAATTGACTATATTAAAACTGACCTAACTATATTACTGCACAAGCCAGTGAAGAGCTGACGATTAATAACCCCCCCCCCCCCCCCCCCTTCTTCTTCTCTGTTTATCGTTTTCTCCCTTTAATGGAGCTGATGAAAGGAACAGATGGCATGTAGTGGATCTGATGTCAGCTCCAGCGAGCCTGCTGTCATATCGTTTGCACCTTCTCATATCCGATGCCATTCGGCTGTCCCCCCCTTATTATTTATTGTTCTATATTATTTAAAAACCTAAAGTGTATTTTTTTTGTTGTGGATGTCCCAAATGGGATACAGAATTTGCAATATTCCAATTCAGTTTCAATTAAATGTTCATGTTAAATTTTAGTTGCATTTTTTTTTGGTTAAAAAATTTAACTAGTTGTGTAAAACAGACACACCAAATCATAATATAAATATATCAATTGCAGGCCCCTGAATCTAATCAAATCGTAATGGTTTTATCTTGAGTTAGCCTATTGGTAAATAACGTATTGCTCGATAAGAGAATCGATGAAAGCACTGGCTGAAGCATAACAAACAATGCCCCCAAAATGCGTTTGAACATTTAAAATTAGGGCTGGGCAAAAAATATCGATTTCTCGATTTTAATCGAATCTTAAATCCCAAGAATCAATTAGTCTAGCCTGTTTTCAGTTAATGGATGGAACGTTAAAAGGCACTTCCCATCCAATATATTGCAATAAGCATTGTGCTTTGGTACTTTTAATATGAAACAAAGTCTCAGATTTCAAATTCTTTTCATTGTATTGCAGTATTCAAACAATAAATGCCGTTTTGGCGCTGTTTAACGTGGAGTGACAGATCGCTGTAGTGCCTCAGATCAAGAGACGCGGCAGCGCGAGGCGCACGTGAACTGATCATCTCCATATTAACACCAGATTCAGCACAAAATAAACATGACTAAACATCCGAAGGTAAGTTAAAACAAAGAGTACAACTTTACAATCCGTATCCTGTCTCATGTAATCGATATTGAATCGAATTGGTAATCGAATCGAATCGCAAGCTTGTGAATGAGAATCGAATCGTGAAATTTTTGTCAAAACCCAGCCCTATTTAAAATATCTAAATGTCATGCATTTGTTGTTTATATGCTTAAATGTGGTGAACTAAACATGTGGTTCCTCTTCTAGGCCCCCTGAAGATAAACTGATCTACCTTGATTGGTGAGTACCACTTCTGAGGGGAGATGGGTTTCCGCATGCCGTTGTTTAGGGTCCGTGTGGACGGAAACTCAAACTCTTGCTCTGGCATCTTCACCCGAGCATTCTTTGCCTTCTCCAGTTTGGCTCCTTCATCAGTGGATCCCTTATCTCCCCAGCGCACCTGGACACACACATACACATTCATAGTATCATTGCAGTGGACCGGAGCGAATGGAAGCTGTTCTTTTCTTTGCTAACACCCTTGCCTTACTTCCATCCTTTTAATGCCACCAACTCCTCTCCCACCGTAATACGAGGCGTCCACTGTTGGCCATTTCTTCTTTGGGTAGGCTTCATCCTCTTCATCCTTCAGAGCAAGACAGTCTTAAGTTAACATGAATTATTCATTGAGAAACCTTGTAGAGCGGGTCTTATTAATCCAGAATTGATTGGATTGCAATTCTATGCCAAGTTCCATTCGTTTTAAATTGTCACTAAAAAACATCTACAATAATATAATGAAATATTTACTATTGCTTACAAAAAAGGAGGATGGAAAAAGATGCTTTGGCTCATGCTAACCAGCCAAACTGACCCTGTTATTATTAGGCATTAGAGAGATGATTTGAAGTGTTTGGAAGAGCTGAATACATATGAATGCATCCTTTGTTTAATTTAATTATGCTCAAGGGTGCTCAAGAACGAAGTCATTATTTATTCTCATGAAAACAATAATTCTTTCCAAGCACGGACAGGAAATGATGTCAGTCTATACCTTCCAGTCATCTATCTGGATTTCATAGCTCGTAAGAAATCAGACAGAATCGGGTTTCCATATGTTCCCCCACAGTCTGACTGCAACAGTTTAAATGAGCTCGGGAGAAAGAACTTTCTTAGACGAACTTTTAGCATGAGCTTGACTTATTGATTTTTATTTTGAGTACTACCCTAGATATCTTCTGCAGAAACAGAAACAATATGAAGTCTGATGAGGATTCTTGCTAATGATCCAGCACTGTCTTTAAGGTTTAAAACAAGTGTTTAAATTTTAATGTTCAATTTATCAAAATACTACATTAATAACTAATTTAAATGCAGCTTTAAACTGCATTTTAATTCTGCTTCCATGTGTGAACTGTAATGACTTTATTGACGAATGGATAATAAGAAGCATCTTGCAAAAGGATAAAGGGAAAAAAAGATTTATAAAACTGCAGTTTGAATGTTGCATTTGAAAATTATTTATCAATTTATTGTTACATTTTAAAAAATTTTAAGCATGATTTAAGTTTAGGGTTGGTAAGATTTTATTAAATAGTTTTGAAAGGAGTCTCTTATGCTCATCAAGGCCACATTTATTTGATCAAAAATACAGTAAAAACTGTAATATTGTAAAGTATTATTACAATTTAAAATAATTGTTGTCTATTTTAATATATTTTAAAATAAATGTATTCCTGTGATGCGAAGCTGAATTTTCAGAATCATTTCTCCAGTCTTCAGTATGACATAAACCTTCAGAAATCATTCTAATATACTGATTTGATTCTCAAGAATTATTTATTATTATCAATGCTGAAAACAGTTGTGCTGGTTAATATTTTTGAATATGGAATATTTTTTAAATCATCATGACCCATCCCTAGTACTGTACAGCACAGTTGATCTTTCTGAAGTAAAGTTCAGATATACATTTTAATGCGATGAGCCCTGAGGGCAGTTTGTACTTCCACTGCAGACTGTTACCTCAGACACTGCAAGACCTGCTTTAAGCGTATGGAATTTCCTGTTTTGAAGGAGCAATCGGAGACTTGGATTGAGGAAGAGCTACTACGTGTCCAAGTTGAAATGTGCTATGGACAATTAAATTGTTCTCAAAAATTCATAAAGTTTGAGAGGCAGTACAAAAATTCCTCAGCAGTGGAACTGCTCTTTGTCTTTTCGTCTCCAGATGTTTACTTTTATCCTAGTCAAAAAAGGGTAAAAATCACTACAATTCGTCTACATTACAGGGTGGATTTTCGGATGAAATTCGAGATCTTAAATCACATAATTTTCTGACACTCTCTGTCTTTTGTCATTATCAGTTTGGCACCCGTGGCCACATCTATGAAAACCAAATGTTTGGAACAAATGTCAGTTGGCGTCTGCTCACAAGCAAAACCCTCTGAATAAAACTTGTTGAAGGAAAAAGGTTCCATGATGGTAACAAAAACACTGCTGATCCTACCAAGACACCAAGGCGTAGCATTGAAAATCTACATTAAATTTGAATTATTATTTGCTAGAAATCTACCTCTCCACTTCAGTTCCAGCTATTCAAAATGTGATTTGAGAGCTACGGCAGAGGGGAAGATTTTCATAGAATAACGACTATATAGGTCTGTTTCAAAAGGTTATCGTACGGCTACAAATGACTTAGAATGTAGTGTACAAGTCATATGGACTATGTATTATTTTTACTGTGCTTTTTAAATCATATTTAGAGCTTAATAGCTCCAGGTAGTGCTGGGCGGTATACCGGTTCATACTGAATACCGGTGTTTATTTTTGTTATGATATGAATTTTTAAAATACCACAATACATATGAAGTATGTCGCTTAAACAACATTCGGAACGCGACACTGTTTGAAAGGGGTCCCTTTTCACTGTTGCACTGTGGTGAGGGAACAGCTGTATGTGTTACTAAGCGTGAAAGTTCCGAAACTGAAGCTGTAGAACCAATAGAACGTGATGACACAGAAGAACTCATCCACAATATTCACATTGACCGCCACAAATATCCACCGCCCCCTGCCATCAGCTCCCGCGTCTCACACACACGAGCGCGACTTTAGCACTAGATTTAGCAACTTTCATGTATTAAAAGGGGTCGTGTTTGGTCACTATTTAGTGTGGTATTTTTTGACAATATTCACTCATCATGACAGTAAAATAGGGCATTCTAAGTCAATATACTGCAGTATTTCCTCTCTCAATCAGTAGAAAATATGGTTAACACCTGGTCATACATGAAAAAAAAAATGCCGTCATGTACCGTGAAACTGGTATAATTTTGAAAAATACCGTGATATAAATTTTTGGTCATACCGCCCAGCACTAGCTCCAGGTACTATCAATTTTACATGTATACAGATATAACAACCTGGACATTTTGCTAACTATCTCCTTTTTGTGTTCCACAGAAGCATGAGAATTACATGGGTTCATAACGACATGAAGGTGAGTAAATGATGACACAATTTTCATCTTTAGATGCGTTATTCCTTTAAAGTTACTAAGTTACTTAACGTTCAGGTCCGAAGATGGACATACAATCAGATTTTTTCCAACTTCTGGCTGTGATATGTGATCTTGAAGCAGTTCAGGACTCAGTATACATGGAAGAAAGACCAAACAAATGATCTCTTACCGAACTGTAGTCCATGACTGGTGGCGGCGGCTCATGGACGATCTGTTGAGATAAGAATGAAAATAAATTGTCTTAACACTAAAATGTTTGAAACCTTTATATATAATGCATTATAGAAGTATTTTACGGCATTAATTATGCCTGGTAATGCACTGTATAATGCATTGTATGATCTCATGAATAACTGTAAGCAGTTATAATATACATCACATTATAATACTTATCTATTATTACACCTTTAGATACTATAATGCATTAAAAAATATGACAAAACCAATCTGCAACCAAGGAATATGCAAATATTAGAATGCATTTTAATTTCAGTTGCAATTATTTGTGAAAAGAAGTACATTATAAATGCCTTTATTTTTTGACGTTATAGCCCTTCATGTCACAGGTATCGTTTTTGAAGGAATGGAAATCAGATTTTAATACAAATGCTATTTATTCCATCTCACTTCTTAGCAAGACTTTTTCCATGGCTCAGAATTTCATTTTGATTTGCACTTCAGAAAAGACATCACTGGGCACAAAAACTGCTTGAAAACCACTTTTCAGCACTGTAATAACTGGATTTTGGGCTCTGGTTGGGGTAACTTCTGAAAAAGAAAGCTGAGATGAGGGGCTCCAGTGCGAGACTTACCACTGTGCAACAGAGGGGCCAAAACCACCAGAGTGTCGCCATAGTGATCAGCAGCAGCAGTATCAGCAGTGCTATGGCCAAGAACGTTCCGTCGGTCTGATGGACAGAGCAGAAACACACATCCAGTGGAGGTTTATGGTCCAAAGGAAATAAACATTGAATAATCTTCCTCATGCCACACTCAAACCCTTCTGGATGGGGGTCCACTTAAAAATTTGCGGTGTAATGTAGTTTAGAGAGAGAATATTAATAGGAGTTGCTGCAAGCTTTTTAAAACACTATCTTGATCTTAGTGTGAGTGACTATGCCAGGAACCCCTTAAAAAGGA